GATTCATTTCCGGGGCAGGAGTGGGATTCATTCCCGGGGCAGGAGTGGGATTCATTCCTGGGGCAGGAGTGGGATTCATTCCCGGGGCAGGAGTGGGATTCATTCCTGGGGCAGGAGTGGGATTCATTCCCGGGGCAGGAGTGGGATTCATTCCTGGTATAGGAGTGGGATTCATTCCTGAGGCAGGAGTGGGATTCATTCCCGGGGCAGGAGTGGGATTCATTCCCGAGGGATGTTCCCCAGCCTGCTCTGGGAGGTGCCACTGGTGCAAGGGCCAGAAACTCCCAGCAAGTCTTGCCCTTCCTGCTCTGTACCTTCAGCCCTAAATGCTTTCCCTGGGCTCAGATCAGGATCCTTTCTTGCTTCCAGGCTTTTCCTTGACTTCCTCCTCTGATTCCGGGTGGGATCAGTGGGAGTTCAGCACCCCCAGCCAGGCTGTAAATCCATTCCTGGCACAGCTTTGGAGGTTCCTGTGGCACGAGGGGCTCTGGGGGGTTTTTATCAGCACCCATGGAGTCCCTTTTCCCCCTCCTGTCCCTGTGGCAGTTCCCAGGGACAGCTCCCAGCAGGGATAGTGGGATGTGTGGGGGGAGGAGGAGTAAATTAAATGTACAGGTGAGGAGGGAACAATGTTCTGCTGGAAAGCAATGCACTGATTCCACAATTTCTGGGATTTAGTCAGAGCCAGAACAGTGAGGGAGAGAAGGAGAGGGAAAGGAACCAGGCAGAGGAGGGGAAGAGAGAAACAGAGCTGGCACAGCAGGGGAAGGAACTGATTAGTGCAAGTCATTAATTAGAGCCAGAATTCATTTAGTTTGTGACTTAATCCTATGTCACAACTCCAGTGGAGTTTCTCTTCCAAGATCTGGGACTTCAGCACCTTTCCAGCCTGGGGGGAGTGCCTGGTGCTCACCCAAACTAGAGAGAGCAGAGGGGAGAGCAGCTCAGGTTAATTCCTCTCCCTTGGCAGGAGGAGGGACGGGGAGGCAGGAGGAGCTGGGGAAGAAGCTCTTCCCAGCAGCAGCAGGAATTCTGCTGCCCAGAGGGGAACGTGGGTGTGAGGGATGTGTGAGGAGAATCCCAGGGGTGGGATCTGTCTGGTTTGGCTGAGTGTGACTTGGAAGGAGGACGTGGAACTGTCTCCTGAGTCCTGCAAAGGGGAGGGAAGAGGAATCCCTGGGGCTGGGCTGAGGGAACAAAAGCTGTGACAGTGAAGTTTAGAAAGGACACATAAAGTGTGAAGAGGTTTTTCCTGATGGTGAACTCTGACAGGAACTCTGTTAACTCTGCAGCGTTAACAGGACATTCCTGGGTTGGATTCCCACTATTTCAGGTGGGAGATAAGTGGGGACTCACAGGGAAAATAGCCTCCAACCACACATGGCATGGCTGTCCATCCCTTTGTTTTGGGATAGTCTCGTGGTTCCAGAGGGGTGTCCTGCGTTCAGCCTGTTGGGCAGTGAGTGCTCCAAGAACAGAGGAGTGTTTGTGTCCTGCAGGTGCCTGTCCCTGAGTCCAGGGCTGGGATTGTGTGTTAGAGAACCTGTTCCATCCAAACAGAGCCTTGCTCTGCCCGTGCCTGTGTCCCAAGGTCTCCTCTCCCTGCAGGTTGGGAAGGGAAGCAGGCAGAGGGCCAGTCCAGCAGCCCCCAGAACTCCACCTCCAGCTCCTCTCCCTCTGTGAAGCTCGAGAACTCCCTGCCAGGGCTGGGCAAGAAGCCATTCCAGAGATCCGACAGGCTCCATGCAAGTAAGAGCCCCAGTGCCCTGCTCCCAGAGCTTTGGCTGCTCCAGGGCAGAACAAAAGCCTGAAAGAGCAGAATTGTGTTAATTCTGTTGCTGGGGGGACTTCTGGGGAGCCCTGGGAGGTGCTGCCAGTCTGCTGTGGGAATTGGGATAAATAATTAGGTTAAATAATTCAACCTTCCATGTGCAAATCAGCCTCTCTCAGTCCTCCTCATCAGGGCTTTTTCCTGGGAATTTGCAGCTGTTTGAGAGCACAAAAGGACCTGCACTATTTGTCAGACCTTTTAATGTCCTTACACACTCTGATAACATGAACAGGGAAAAAGAAATCCCTTCCAGATCCTCACCCTCCAGACCCTGCTGTGGTTTGGCTCCCGGCCCCTCACTGGGCTCTGGGCTTTCTCAGCCCTCCTGACCTTTGGGGTTCTCTTTACATTTACCAAGGGGGGTGTTGATCTTCTTGTAGGATCACAGAATGTCCTGAGCTGGAAGGGACCCCCAAGGATCATCCATCCAACCCCTGGCCCTGCACAGGCACCCCAACAATCCCACCCTGTCCCTGAGCTCTGGCAGCCTTGGGGCCATGCCCATTCCCTGGGGAGCCTGTTCAGTGCCAACCACCCTGTGGGGAAGAACCTTTCCCTGAGATCCCACCTGACCCTGCCCTGGCACAGCTCCAGCCCTTCCCTGGGTGTCACTGCTGTGTTCCATTTCCTTTGGGTGCATCCCAGTCTGACTGGCCACACCCCACAGGGTTTGGAGCTTGGATCAGAAGTGCATTATCAGCAAAAAGGGAGATATTAAACATCTAAGCTTAGATGGTCCCTGCGGGTCCCTTCCAGCTCAGGACATTCCGTGATTCCCTGAAGTGCTCCTGTGTCATCCCCCCCGAACCAGCAGCACAGCCCCAGAGCTGGGCACAAAGGGCAGTGCTGGACATGGGGGCTCTCACACAGCAAAGCAGAGGGACAGCAAGGTCCCCCTGGGGTTCCCCTGTGTCTGCTGGGGGGGTTCCACACGAGCACAACGAGCTGATGGGTTTTCCTGGAAGGCTTTTTGCCATGAACAAAGTGGGAGAGTCCAAGGAGAAATCCAGAGGATCAAACTGACCTTGACTGGAGGCTTGAAACAGAAAATTGATGTGGATAAAAGGAGTTCTAGAAACACTCCTGAGAACCCCTTCTTGAGTGACAAGAGGATGACTGAGCCAGGCTGCAGTGCCTCAGGTGTGGAATGTTCTGGTTGGGAAGGACCTCCCACACTGCTTTTGGCTGCACGTGCAGAGCCAAACGTGGTTCTCCAGCCCCAGAAGGGATTCCTGCTGTGGAATGTGCAGGGGGGACTCCTGCAGCCCCCTGGGGTTGATGTGACGGGGGCCTGGTTGGTTGCAGGGCAGCTCAAGAGGGCCAAGTGCGCCGAGATCGACGTGGAGACGCCCGACTCGATCCTGGTGAACACGAACCTGCGGGCGCTGATCAACAAACACACCTTCTCTGTGCTGCCCCCCGAGTGCCAGCAGCGCCTGCTGCTCCTGCTGCCCGAGGTCGACAGGCAGGTATGGAGGGACTGGGGGGGCTCACACGGGGGTCCTGCCCAGCAGGCTGTGGCTGCCCCGGCCATGGAGGTGTCCCAGGCCAGGCTGGAGCGACCTGGGATAGTGGGAGGTGTCCCTGCCCCTGGCAGGGGGTGGGACTGGATGGGCTGTAAGGTCCCTTCCAACCCAAACCATCTGGGGTTCCATGTTCCTGTGGTTCCAGACACCCAAATCCTTTATTTATGTCAGTGGGAGCAACCTTTTTCTTCAGTGCAGGAGGTACAATGGTTGGAAAATCCTCCTGGGATTCATTTTGGGGTGTGTTGCTACCATGGATGTGTGGGCAGCAGCAGGACTGTGGAGGGCTGGGCTGAGGGGAGGGTGAGGAGGAGCTCCCACAGCCCCAGGGATCCAGCCTGGAGCTCCCACAGCCCCCAGGATCCAGCCTGGAGCTCCCACAGCCCCAGGGATCCAGCCTGGAGCTCCCACAGCCCCAGGATCCAGCCTGGAGCTCCCACAGCCCCA